ATAAATTTTGGACATAAATTTCAGAAAGATATTTATGATTAAACTGGTATCTGTAGCTGACTTTATCAGGTCCATATATATTCCTTTCCTCCAAATTAATTGCTTGGCTAGGGAAAGGTTGGAAAATGGGATTTGGGAAAAAAAGAAGAAGAAGAAAACATAATCTGCGAAACTGTCTTGACTTTCCAGTCCTTTTATATAAACATAATCTTATTGAAAATGCCAAAGGGTTCATTGTGGCTTGCCATGATTGGTAAAATTCATTCTTCTTTTCCGACTTAAAAGTCCATGATTTAATTAAATCTTATCCTAGAACAACTAATTTTGTGGATTTGGTTATGCTTATTGAAGCACCCTTTTTTATCCTTTGTATGATACTAATGGTTCATTTGAGTTACTTTAACTTCTTAAAAATTATTGATTGCAGGAAAAGCAAGATGTAAAAGCAAAAGAAATATCAAGCAAAATGCAGAGTGTGTAACATACTTGTCAGACTGGTGATAAGGTATTTGAAATCCATTCCTTTGTCGTCCTTTAATTCCTCTAGATATTTTCAGTCCTCTTTCTTTTGTGATTCCTTAATTTTATGTATTCAAGAAAATGACATAAAGTGGCTTGGACCTTGTTGTCCTGCAGAATTTAGATCAAGTGGAGATGCATGTTATGTCTACTCTTTGTAATATATATCTATATCCATAATGCATGGAATTGCAAAAATGAATGTGGATGCTTGAAGGGAACTTTGTTGACATATGGGGATCAGGTTGTTTGCAGTTACCTGCCAGCCGCTGCAGCCAACTTAGCTTGGTTGTGTACTAGGCTAGGAGTTGTGTAATGTCATTACAAGTTAATCTCTGGCCCCTGGATTTTTTATGTACCGTATTCAGCTGCTCCATGATGTGTACTATTAAATTTCTTATATTCTATATTATTGAAGACATTATTTCTTGTTATATAGTTTATCATTGTATTACCAAGAAAAAAAAAAATTAAGGATGCATTACATGAGTGGATGATTTTTGGGTAAAAAAATTGCAAAAGAGAAAAAGAAAAAAAGAACAAAACTCCATTTTTCTAAAACTAAAACCTTACTAACTTAAAAAAAAAAAAAAAAAAACATACCAAACTAGTAAAACCCAAAAGATAGAGCCACAGGCCCAATACAAGTTTGAAGCCCTGCTGGCCCCAGTCAGAGGACACTGGAAACCCTCGCTAAACCCTCGTCTTTTCTTTCTTCTTCTTCTTCCTCCGCGTCTTTGGAGCATACTCCGTTAAAACCAGTCGGAGAAATCAAATTTCATCCCCTTTTTGTCTCCCTGTTCAGGTTGCATTTCTCCGACACAGAACCCAATCTTCTATTGATATTGAAAAGTCTGATTCCTTCACGATGATAAGAGGTGGTAAGAGCTACGTGACTTCTCCTCCAGCCTTCTCAAACGATGGGAAGAAGCTCCTTGTTTGCACCGCCGAAACAGTCTCAGTCTTCAGCACCTCCACTGGCTTGCAGGTTTCACTTGTCCATCCTTCATCTCCTCCTTACTTTCTTCTTTCCACCTTTAATTTCTGTTCTCCCCTTTCTCTGTGGATTAGATAACGTCACTTGAGGGTCACACGGCGCTGGTCACGACGGTTATAGTGGTGCCGGCGTGGAATCCGGCCAGCAAGATACTATGTTTTTGTTGGACTGCCTCGCTTGACGGGACCATTCGCTATTGGGATTTTGCAGCGCCGGAGTTAATGAAGACTATCGATGTTAAGATTCCAATTATATCCATGGTATGGCATGAGCGACCTTGTTATTAGCTTATGTTATTTATGTCAAATTAAACTGAAAATCCAGAATGCTGATATCAGTTCTCAAGGATTGTAGCTGTAAAGTTCATGCCTTGATTTTTCCTGTTGTGAATAATGTAGCATTGAAGTAATTGCTGATTGTTCTTGTTTTAAATTTGAGGTAATTCCATCTATTTTGGTCCAACCATCCATGGAAAGTGAAAAACGTCCGGACCTTTTTGCTTATCTGTCTACTGAGGATGTGAAGGAAAGCAAAGAGGAGGGAAATGCATTGCGGAGGCAAATCCGAAAGTGTAACTTAAGCAAGTCTCGTCTAGTTGGATTAATTTTGGGAGAGGTAATGTTCAATATATTTATAACCATATTTTTTCTGCTCTTTAGCAGTTTTTTATTTTATTTAATTATTTTCGAAAGCTTCCTGTTTTCTATAAAAGCTGTACTGCTATGGCTGCCAATCATGTCAAAAGTTTCTTTAAAAGTTTTTATTTGCAAAAGTAGTGAATTCTTGCACAGAGAAAAGAAAATAGTTACGAAGCAATCCAAATGCACCTATTTGGTTAAAAAAGTACCGTTAAGATGGTCAAATCAAATTTGATTTGAAATATCAGGAACTCTTTAACTTGAGAGTATGTTTTGAAGTTGTTTAAGAAAGTTGAATTCATTTTATCTTTGTGATTATTGGCAGTTCCTATCAGTTAGTCTTTTCATGTGCTTATGTTTGTAACTCGTGTGTGCCATACCTTGTTTATATCTATCTTTAACAGGTGAAACAGCAAGTGGTTTTAACTGTTAGTCCTTCGGCAAAATATTTTGGCTTGAAAAATAAGTGTAAGCTTCAAATATGGAAAGTTCCTGCTAAAGATTCTGACAATGCAATTGTTAAGAAGATATCACTGCACCATACAAAGAAGATTTCTGTTCTTGCATTCCATCCAAATCAGAGAATTGTTGCTGCTGGGGATGTCACTGGGAGAATTTTAATTTGGAGATTATTTGGTGATAAAACATTTTCCAAAAATGGAGAAAAGAATGAAAGACCAATGGATACTGGGGAAGAAAAACCTGGGGTGCGGGGTGATGATGATGCTGATTCCTGCTCAACCTGGCATTGGCACCCTGCTGAAGTAAATGTCCTCTCTTTCTCTTCAGATGGTGCCTATTTGTATTCAGGTAATGGAATCTTAAGAGTATGTCAATGAGGCCTGGTATTTTCTCTCTCTTGATGTTTATGGGTCCTTGCACCTAGGATGTTAATGGTTCAGAATTGACAAGTCTTGACTTTTTGTGTCAGTTTGTCAATGTATGAAGTATAAAAACTTTATGGTAGTAATCTCTCATTCTGTACTTTTTTTCTTTTTTTTTCGGATCCTGAACTATCGCATCATCCATTATGTTAAATGTTTGTTACTAGAAGGTACAAAACCTGATTACTTTGGTAATTTGTTTGGCAAAATGATCCTACCTTATAACACAGGTGCATAAAATAAACTTCTGTTTTGTACTTTTTAGTGGTCATGGACCCAAATTGTATGATGATTGGCTTGAATATGTTCTTCATCAAATACTTCTTTTCTTAATTTCTTCCAGCTATCTGATTAACCACTTGCAAAAATTGAGTTCCCTCTTTCTAACACTTTTTGTTTGCATGCAGGTGGCAAGGAAGGTGTACTTGTGGTTTGGCAATTAGATACTGGAAAGAAGAAATTTTTACCCCGAATTGGATCTCCACTACTATATTTTATTGATTCTCCTGATCCTTCTCTTTCTTCTGTAAGTAAACCTGTTCTTTTAGGAGTCTACAATTTTACCATATTCTTGCCTTGCCTTTTGAAATAGTATTATGTAGTTTATTCACCATACTAACTAAAGGTCTTCAGATATGTTGTGCAGATAATCAAATTCATTTACTCAAAATGCCTTCAATGGAAATTTTAAGGACTATTTCTGGAATCAAGGTTTGTACTGATCAGCATGACTGCAAATTTGAAAACCTTGTAATCTTATTCATATGTGTTCAGGCTTTAACCTTATGTGATTGGTACTCCACCTTTTCTTTCTTTTTTCTTGCTAAATAGCAAATGTGGTTTGCTACCTGTTTGATTGACTGGGATTCCTCGTTAATTGAGCCTGAAGTTCTATAAAGTACAGATAGTAAATATAAAGGTAGAAGATGCATGCTACTATGTCCAATGTAGTCATGTAGATGAAGTTGCAAAATAGTAGTGTTATCCTGCATCCATTCAGTACGGGTGTTGTTTTCATCTGGTATTCAAGTTGAACCTCTCCAGCTATTGCCAATCGGTCTTAAGTTGGATTAGTTGGCTTGAGATGGTATCTGATTTGAGTTGTATGTTCTCCTGTTTTTTATTTATAAGCCCCTCGGTACGATCCTAGTCAGCAAGATGAAGTCACTTGTTGAAGTTGTTGTATTGGACTGATAGTGAGGAAGTGTTTTAAGTTGTTTTTGCTAACTCACAATGGTTTAGGGGTTTGTTGTGGCCTTATATATAAGTTGGAACTTTCTACCTCGTGGCTGTTGGACTTTGGGTTGGATACAGAATTTTCTTGTTAATAATCATTTACTTTGTTAGCATGCACCATGTTTGCAAAAGGCCTTGTCTTAGGCTTGGATTGGATACTTATTACCCCATTTAGTTTCAAGACCTGAGACACTTCTAACCACCAAACCTCAAAATGTGGCTCGTGTGGTCTAGGTGCCCAGCATGTCCCAAGGAGGTTTACCTTATCATATATGCAGGGGCTTTGACACTTTCCACATATTATTATATCTATTTGTATTTTCTGCTGTTCAGTATAAAAATTAACAGTTCATGTGCATCTTCTGTTTTTCAGGCTCCATCTTCATATCATGAGATGTACAAAGGCTTAAATAATGGGGTTGCTTTTGATCACACAGCTGGGCTGGTTGCCTTACGTACTGAAAACTATTGTATCCAATTATACAGCTTATTTGATGACCGTGGAGTTTCTGAGGTAAGGATATTGTTATTTTTGTTGCTATAGCTTGGTTTATATTAACCTTACAGATATCCACATGGAAGTCAGGCTGCATAACAATTTGTTTGTGTTCATTGCACCCTCCACAACTGAAGAATAGTTTTGTGTAGGAATTTCTTGCCATTTGTAAATTATTTGGGATTCAAAATTTTCTAATGTACCCTCTTTCAGGTTCAAGTCTGTGAGAGGAACCATCAGCCTGGTGATGATGTGATGGTAAAATAGAGTCATCTCTTACGATAACATGTCATCTGATGAATTTTTTTGATATTATGTTGTCAAACAAACTTCATTTTCTGATACTTTGATTACAGGTAGTAGTAACTTTAGTGGCTTTATCCTTTGATGGTTCCGTGATGAGTACTGCTGAAATTAAGCTTGCTGAAGAAGGCATAGGAGGTCTTATCTGCCTCAAGTTCTGGACATCAGGATTTCAAAACAAGGAGTTTAGCCTGTTAACCATTGTTTATGAACCTCACAGGTACACCTTTGACAATTTATGTATTAAGAGAGGGTAAAATGCAGTTGTTATGCGCATCATATACCATTGTGTTATTCCTTCTCTGAATATTGCTGACATGTGGAAAACATTACTTTTTAATTAATGCATCCCTATTCTTTATTTTTTTTCCTTTTTCCTTTTTATTAATTTCCAATCTGGGAAAAAAAAAAGGAACTTACACTTGTTTCAAAAAAAGCTTCCAATTTGAAAAAAGAAAATCATGTTGCCAAGTGAGTTTGAATATTCATCGATGTACTCTTTGAAATGAAGCACGGGAGAAATGATTATTCCTAACTTGTTACTGTACAGGGATGCTGCCATTTCTGCAATTGCATTTCACCCGTCTGGTCATATGGCTGTCAGTTCATCTTATGGTGGCGACTTTAAGGTACCTTGGACAAATTGGATTACAGTTTTTAGTTCTCTGCTTCCATGAAAATTGACTTCTTCCTTCCTTGTTCTGCCACAGGTATGGGTTTGCAACAATGACAATCAGAAAGATCAGATGCTTCAGAATTCTAGCTGGACTTGCCATTCTGTGGGCTCATATAAGTATGATCTTCTAAATTTCTATATTGGGAACCAGATTCGATAACTATTTAACAAAATTATCAGACAATAAAAAAAAGAAAAGAAAAGAAAAAGAAAACTAAATTATCAGACAATAAAAAAGAAAAAAGAAAAAAGAAAACTATGTAACAAATAGAGAATTACTTGTACACATTCTTATACTCACACAATTTTTAAACCCTCTTCCTGAATGATTGTCACTGCATGCCATCATATCTATGTTACATATATTCTTTTATGACTTGTGGTTGACCTCTTAATTGCACTTAGGGGCACACTTATTCTCACTGGTATATTAGAAAATTATGCATTATTTGCCAAGTTCAGTCAACAATAACATGGAAAAGTAGTTGTAAATGTATCAAAAATTTATGTATTGCATATTTTATAATCTCTTGTCTTTGGCCTATGCCATTGGATCAAAGATTCACCAATCTTTGTTATTCTAATTAATTATCTTTTCATATGCAGAAAAAAACCAATGACTGCTGCTGCATTTTCAGCTGATGGTTCTGTTCTAGCTGTTGCTGCAGAAACCGTTATTACGTTGTGGAATCCAGACAAGAATGTTCTCTTGGCTGTGATCGGAGAGACTCTCATGGTAATTCTTTTAAATCTCTACCATTTGTTATTTTTGACATGTCCCATGAAAATATATGTAATTACATGCAACTATTGATGACAATTCATTGAAACAGATACTGCATAACCCTGGCAAAAAAGAAAAAGATGCTGTATAGCTGTAGCCATTTGACAGTGGTTCTAGGATTCATGGAAATTTTGGTGTCTCCCTTAGATGGTGTTGGTTAATCTTTGCAAAGAAGAAAGAATTGTATATCTTGGATGGTGTGGTGAAAAAAGAAGAAAAAGAAAAAAGTTCTTTAGGATTGGAACAAGGTGGAAGAAACTGTTAGGATAGAAAAAGAGAATTATTTAGTAACAGAAGGCAATATATGTACTTTACTTCTTCTTCTTCTCTTCTTGCTGAAGTACATACTTTAGGAGTAACTTTTATTATTATTATTATTATTATTATTATTATCATCAAAAGTATTGAAATTACAAAGAAATTGGCATATAAAGAATTTTTTTTTTTTAACTTCTATGGAAAATGGCAACATAATCAAATGAGTCATGGTTTTCTGCACTTGTGCATGTGCGCAGAAAACCTTTATTTGACAGGATGTGGCATTGTGCGTTAGATAGCTCATTCATGACTTGGTTCTACTTGTTCATGCGTGCATGCATGCCTGTGTTTGTGTGTGTCAATGGGTATGTGCATCATTTGTCTAAGTTAATTGTTCTTATATTTTCTTTTTGTCCAGCCAATTGTGACCCTATCATTTATTGGGAAGTCAGAGTATCTTGTGGCTGCATCATGGGGCTCAAAGCCACAACTGTCTGTTTGGAGTATGTCAAAGCTTTCTGCAGCTTGGTCATATAGGCTTCAAATAGAAGGTAAATTTCCTTTTTCAATTTCTGTAGATAATAACAGGGCTTTTGCATGCCATTGATGATGTCACTAACATATCTGTGTTACATGAGTAAAATTTTCAAACTTTCTTTTATATATATGTGGACTAATTGTTCTTAACTATATTTGGCAGCTGTAGCAACTGCAGTGGATTTATCTTCTTTTGCTGCTCTGGCCCTCCTTCCTGAATCATCTAACGAAACAACATTTCAGGAAAGAGATGGGTTAATCTTATTATTTAATGCGAAGGATGCTGTTCCTGTGGCTACCTGGTCTGCTAAGAAGGTATGCTATGTTTCATCTCAGGTGCTGTGACTGCATTTTACACAGTATTTTCACCCTTGCAACGATTCATCGCGGTGCAGAATGAGATGTAGGGTCTGCCCTTGCATTTATTCAAACAAATCAATCTTCCACCAAAATATTATTATGCGGTCTTACTCATCTATGCTGTTATTGCAGGCAAAGGGTGGGGCTCTTGCATTTATTCAAACAAATCAATCTTCCACTGAAGAGATTGGTAGGGATGGTACACCACCACGAGCATTGCTTGCATATGTTAATGGTGATCATGAGTATGTCCTGTTTGATCCCTACAACAAAGATGTCCAAGAGCTTAGCATAAGCCATAAGGAGATTCATGCTACCCCTGAAGAGACAGGTGGGCCTTAATCTAATAGTTTAAGTCTATTAAAGATGCCGTAATCAAGTTCAAAATCTTTATACTCTCTTAATGCATGAAGAACAACTCTAGTTAAGAAAAATGACCTAATCCATTTAGGGCTCCTACTTCTCTGGTTGTCTAATAAAAGGTTTAATCATTTGCAGTCTTTGAACTTTTACATTTTTAGTCCCTAAACTATTTTTTGCAATTTTTTCATCCCCATATTACACAAAAAAAAGGCACTTTTTTGGCCTTTTTGCCAGTTAGTCTGTCAAGTTTGTCCATATATGCACAATTTTAATCCCTGAACTATAATAAAATGTTAGATTTTATACCCTTTTTTCCTAAGTATAACAAATTTGAAGATAAGATATTTTATGCAAATATATAGGCTTCCTTATAGTTCAAGTCTGGTAGGGTCAACCTCTAAAATAATGGATATTAGAAAAGAGACCAGCAGCACATCATGCGTACAGTTCATGGAAATAAGTTGGATTTGGACTTAAAAAATTTTGGCTGCATGGTGGTGTATCTGTTTTTTTCTTTCTATTTCCCTTTTTTTGAGAATTATTTGTTTTCCTTTTTCCAAATGCATAGAAGAATTAGTTTCTAGGATTTCCATGATTTGAGTTTTTTCAATAGTTCTGTCTGGTTTATCAGACATAAAATCAACCATATTCTGCTTCCAGCTTACCATCCACTAAATCACTGGATAAATATTTCAGGACTTGATATATAATCTGAAGGGAACCTAGGTTCTTCTCTACTTCCCTTTAGAAAATAAATGGCGTACACATGATGTTAGTCAGAAAGATGCATCCTCTTGTATGTGGGGGAAACTCCCTCAAGTAATGAGAGAGATTCTACAACCTGAATAATAAATTAGCCTGGTTCCTGTTTTCTAGCATCTTATGACTAATTCTAGTGTGTCCTCTTCTCCTGTTGTCTCCTGTGACAGGGCGAGCAAGGCAGTTTGGATATGCATCCATCTATGGGGAGCTGCCACAGTTTGACTTGAAGAGAACTGATACCTCCTGGACCCCCTCCTTCCCATCTGAAAGACCTTGGGAGACCATATTCAGTGGCTCATCACATAATCTTCCACCTCTTACCAAATTGTGTTTGCCATTTCTTGAATCATTGTTGGAAAAAAGGACAGCCGCTGTTGAGTGATTTGCTGATGGACTAAATGCAGTATTCTTCGTGGTTTGTGCCATCTTTGGAGACACGTAGGCACAAGTGTTCTTTCTTCTCCTTTTTGCACACTGGTGAACCAATCCAAGCTTAATGCATGCACAATGCGCCAGGTTAATATGGAAATATGATGCTGCAGAGGATCTGGCCAGAAGATTTACGCCTGAGGTTGGTAACTACTGACATGAAACTCCATTCAAATATTGGTGAAGCTTTTGCATTTGGCTTCCAAAATTAGTCTCTTCTATAGTTTAGTAATTTTATTATTAGTTTCGATATGCACTTCTCTAAGTCATCACCCTATTTGTTATGCCAATTTTACTGAAACGAAAGATCAGCAAAACAGAACAGAGGCACCTGGCTTAAAGGGCCAATTGACCTTAAGTCTTTAGAAAGGTGTACCCTAACCTTAAATGTTGTGTTCAAATCCCCTTCCCCCAAATTTGTACCTGTTTAGAAAAAGAAAAAAAAAAAGGAAGGGAGGGCGAAACAGAACGGAGGAAACTGTTGGCCACTTATATGTAGAGCATTGTACGCATTGTACCCTTTGTGGTATATACAAAGGGTCATGATTATGTTGACTGTTGAATTTATTAAGATTATCAAAAGTTATCAAATTTTTATATAATTTGACTGTTAAAAATAGTTTATAATTAATATAATAATAATTTATTATTTAATAAATTAAAATTAATTTATAAATAAATAATTTTATATATTATAATTAATTGTTTTAAAAAATTATAAATTAATAAAATTGCAGTTAAATTAATAGTGTTCATAAAAGTTTTGGTAACAACAACCTCACCCAAAATACTAAAAAGTTAAGACTGGACACTGTATACTAGAGGATTTCGCCTGGTTGAAAACTAGACTACTATAATAAATTGGTTGAAGGAACTTTACCTACCAAGGGCAAGCTAAATCTAATGTTGTCTCTTGTTAACTGTGCTGGAAAGTGGGAGAGAAAGACCGTAAGTTTTCCTCCCTCAGCTACCTTTCTTCATCTGCATTTTGCTTTGGGTCCTCGACAATGACAGGAAAAACAACAAAAACGTGCCGAAAAAAGTGCTGTTTAGAGCTCGTTTGGTATAGTGATCGGTGGATTTGCTCAAACTGCTAAGAATAGGTGTTTAATTTGTTTTCTTCTACAAACCAAAATGTTGCAGCTGCTGGAACCACCGTCAGCTATCTGCCTGGTTTGGAATATGGTGAACTCCCTTTCAAGCTTCAAACTGGGTCGGCTTTCTTTCCTTACTCAAACTCATGATTATTGTAGACACTAAACTACTTATTTTAACGAACATCATTATACGAACTCCAAATAGAATAACACGAGCATGGTAATTGCGCACGATTAAGTTTTAGACCATACAAATTTTTATATGTTGTTTTCAAAAATACCAATTCTATTTAGTTTGATGATTATAAATAATTAATAACTTTAATTTTCAATTATTATAAATAATAAAAATGTTAATATTTATTATTTAATAAATTAAAATTAATTTATAAATTAATATTTTTAAACATTATAATTAACTACTTATAAAAAATATATTAATATTTGTGTGGCTTAAAGTATTAGTAGCCATACCCATGCTCAATAAAACGATACTAATTAGAAGGGTTCACATCTTTCTTCTATTTTCCTTTTTTTGCTTAGTCTGGCATTGCTCTAGGATGTACCCACATTTAAGAATGTCGATGGTTAGATTCTAAAATAAAACATTAATGGTTAAGACTTAAAATTGTGCGTGCAACCGCAAGCCCCACTACACAACTACGTAATTAGAAACAACCACGAAAAAAATAAAGATGAACATAAAATAAGAGATATTTGAAAATAAGAAAGTAAGAATACCATACAAACGACGGAAGACAATGAGACAAGAAAAAAACGAAAGGAATGAGAAATAAAAAAAGGGTTTAGAAGTTTGAGCTTTTATTATTCTATTTTATCATATTTTTTTTATACAATATAAACCTATACTTAAATTAAAGGAAATTGGAAATTAAATTGATAATTTAATAGTATACTAAGTGGGGTTATATAAATAACCCCCTAGTGCAGGTTGTGCTTCGAAAAGGTAAGCCGCATTCTAATGATGGTCTCAAACCGGCGGCGATTTCTGCTCACTCCACCGTCTCCTCTCGATTTCCTATCTGTTTTATGTTCATTACATGTTTCTGTGATCTTTGTGTTTACAGATTTGAATTTGTCGCGAGTCTCGCTCTTGCAACCGGGAGCGTCTGTGGAGACTCAGTTCACTCACTGTTAATGGTGATTACACTAAACCTTCAAACGAAGTGTAATGGGTATTGAGTGTTGAGAGAACACTCGTCTGCCCACACACAAACCAGAATGTTGTTAGAGTGAGAGAGGTAAGAGCACAAGACTACTCTTTCCATAAAAGTCTGGTTTTGTATTGAAATCACTACAATTCAAGTACACTTAGTTGACTCACGTCACTCTCACTCTCACTTTTGGACCCACACTATGCTCTTTTGCCTTTTTTTTTTTTTTTACAGAAAGAAATAGTTTGATTAGGTATTAGGATTTTGCTGTTAGAGAAGGTCAAACTTTGGATTTGGGTCCTAATGGGCAGCGTAACACTACTGTGCGCCACATGGGGGGATTGCTGCTCTTTTGTTCTGTTTTCTTCTTCTCTTAAACACACACATACACACATATGATTTTATAAATCGATTGATAACTGTGTGTATCACTCAGTCTCATAGGTTGAGTTCAATCTCCCTTACCTCATAAATTGCCCTTGATTTAAAAAAAATAAAAAACTAACGTGGCTTTCTTTCCATCATATATCCTTGTGTGGCTTCAATTTGCTTTGCAGTAAAAGTATACTTCTAGAAGACTTCTATGTCATCACTTTCTAAATTCCAAGTTGGTGATGAATATTTTAACAAATGTTGACCACTAAGTGGTCCTAAGAGAAAGGTTTGGTATCATCAGGGTATCAGCTAATGAAATTGATCTTCATATGAATCAAGTAGAGTGCACTGTAAAGATTCAGAAACCAGACCGCTAGGTCAAAATGTTTTAGTCCCTTGTTGAGACCAATAAACCCAATAACTAAAAAGACCTAATAAAAGGACCATATTAACGCTTAACAAATTTGATTTTTGATGTGGAACAGTACACAAAAGAACTATGGAACGGATGCAACTTCAGCGATGCCTACACGAAGACTGTTACAAGCTCTGTTCCATGTCATCGCAATCTCAGCAAGCAGAGTCTTCTTGCTATGGTCTACAGGTCATACTCTTACGTCATTAACATAAATTTCTCCGCAACTATCTCTTCAACAATTATTCACTAAAAAACACATGATTTCTTGTAGTGGTGATCACGATTTCTCCATACCACACATTGGAACACAAAATTGGATTCGTACACTCAATTTGACCACAGAGGAAGAGTGGAGGCCATGGTTTGTTGATGGTCAAGTAGCAAGGTACGTCTTCAGTATTTTCATAACTCAATACCAATGTTAAATCCTAAATCTTCTTCATATTCTCATCAGATACACAGTGAAGTACATAAATGGTGACTACACTCTGATATTCGCCACGGTAAAGGTAAGAAAAATGAATTTCATTTTTCAGTGATGCGCAAATAACTTCTAAAAGAGATATATAAACAAAGTTGTGTTGCTTGACGCAGGGCGCTGGTCATATTGCACCAGAATACAAGCCCAGGGAATGTTATTCCATGATCAATCGGTCTTCGCTTATTTCCCACTTTAGTAATGCAACGCAATATGAGCATAAAAATCTGTTCTCCATTTTAGCTTTTGAGTGTGGGAGGGTTTCCGCTCTAAGGCCTGCTCTCTGCTTCTCAAACAATTAAATGGAGAAAATATATCATCAGTGTAATTCGCCCTGTATTGACCTTTGTGGTGAGCAATAGTGCTATTGTGATAATAAATTTTGGCTGTAGTGTTATTTCTGATTGACTTGATTCATTTTACTGGTGAATCAAGTAATAAGAATCAATCCAAGCTATCTGCTCGATTTGGACTTAAAAAATATTTGCTACATGGAGATTTATCCCTTTTTTTTTTTCTTTTTTGTTTTTTTGAGAATTATCTGTTTTCTTTTTTCCAAAAGCATAGAAGAATTAGCTTCTGGGTTTTCTATGATTTGAGCTTTTTCAATGGTTCTGTCTGATTTTTACAGACATAAAATCAACCATATTCTGAACTTAATATATAATCTGAAAGGAACTTAGGTTCTTCTCTACTACCATTTAGAAAATACACGGCGTCCAAATGATCTTAGTCTGAAAGATGGATACTCTTGTATGTGGGGGAAATTCGCTCCGGAAATGAGAAAGATTCTGACAATCTGAATAACAAATTAGCATGGTTCCAGTATTCTAGCATCTTATGACTAATTCTAGTATGTCCTCTTCTCCTACTGTCTCCTGTGACAGGGCGAGCAAGGCGGTTTAGATATGCATCCATCTATGGGGGAGCTGCCACAATTTTACTTGAAGAGAATTGATACATACTGGATCCCCTCCTTTCCATCTGAAAGACCTTGAGAGACTATATTCAGTGGCTCATCACATAATCTTTCGCCTCTTACCAAATTGTGTTTGCCATTTCTCGAATCACTGTTTTCGGAAAAAAGGACAGCTGTTGTTGAGTGATTTGCAGGTGGACTAAATGAAAGTATTGATGGTGGTTTGCACCGTCTTTGGAGACAAGTAGAGTACAAGTTTTCTTTCTGCCCCTTGTTTGCACGCCGGTGAACCAATCCAACCTTAATGCATACACAAACCACAATGCACCAGGTTAATATGGAAATTTGATGCTGCAGAGGATCTGGCCAGAAGATTTACGCCTGAGGTTGGTAACTACCGACAAGAAACTCCATTCAAATTTTGGTGAAGCTTGTGCATTTGGCTTCCAAAATTAGTCTCTTCTATTGTTGGTAATTTTATCATTAGTTTCGATATACACTTCTCTAAGTCATCACCCTATTTATTATGAGTTATGACAACTTTATTGAAATGAAAGATAAGCAAAACAGAGCAGAGCGAACCGTTAACCGCTTTTTTTTATTTTTTTCAATATATTAAAAAATTAATTATTTGATATTATAAAATTTTTAATTTAAAATTTTTAAATTAATAAATACTAATTTAAGCAAAATTTTTGAGTTGTCGGTGACTTATACATAGAGTATTGCTAAGCGTTGTTCAATATTCTTAATGTAATTGAATCCCCTTTTCAAGATTGAAAAATGATTTGAAGGTAGATGAATATCATGGAAATCCATCATCGTGCGGATCCGCATAATTAACAGCTATGATATTTTTGGCTTATGATTCAAATAACATTGCTACTAAAGTCCCAATAATCAACAGCGCCCGTGTCATTTTTTAACATCAATATGATGAACAATTTTACTTAGATGATGTAAAATTAAAGTTATTTTTTATATTTTTATAATAATTAAAGGAAAAAAATGTAATTTATAAAAATCTTAAAGATTTATTTCTTTATTTATTTATTCTGAAAGATTATTTTTTAATACATCTAAATATAAATTATATAAAATAAAAAAAATTTCTTTTATTTAAATTTTTTTTTATCAACTCAAGGTACAAATTTAAAATTTTTAATTTAAAATTTTAAACTTTTAATTCCTCTAACAAGATGAACCTAATTAGCGTTATTGTTTCTTCAAAACCAAAAAAAAAAAAAAAAACATAGCGCCATTGATACCGGCCATAGGGCGAAACGACCAAAGTTGAGGAAGACAGAGTGATAGACACCATCTTTGTTGGATATTACCGAGAAGTTAAAGACTGCACACTGTTTTATAGACCTGAGGACTTTACCTGTTGAACAGTAAGAAATTGGTTGAAAAAGTGCTTTACTTAGTAGCATTATCAACGTTTTTGGTCAACTCTACTGGAAAATCAAGAGACCGTAAGTTTTCCTCCCTCATCTGCCTCTCTTCTTCTGCATCTTGCTTTCTGTCCTCAAGCATGACAGTGGAAGCAACAAAAACGTGCTGAAAAAAAAGGCTGTCTTTTAGTTCAATTTGTTTTCTCTACCGGTTTTGACCAAGCTGGAACCACCGTTAGCCATCTCCCTGGATTTGATAGAAGCTTCAAACTGGGTCGGCTTTCTTTGCTTACTCAGACTGACTGATGATTTTTGTAGACCCTAAACTACTTATTGGGAACATCAATGAAATTCACTTGATTTCCTATCTATTCTATGTTTCTTACCTGTTTCCGTGATCTTTGTGTTTACAGATCTGATTTTCACCCCAGTCTCCCTCTTGCAAGACTCAGTTCACTCACTGTTAATGGCTGAATTAACAAAGTAAAGGTCTGAATTCTTTCATTTCAAAATGTAATGACTGCTCATATACCCATTTCTATCGACTACTGCTATATTTTTAGTATCTGCTTTTCTTGTAATTGCAAGTGAAAGGACCTTCTTTATTAAGGAGAATATTAATCTAATGTCAGAGTGCAACTTGTACATGGGATCTACCTTTCTTGTTAAGTGTACTGGAAAGCTGGAGGTCACACAAGTCTTCTCTCCTCAACTACCTTTCTTCCGCATCTTGCTTTCAGCCCTCACAACAAGAATCATGATAGAAGCAACAAAACGTGCTGAAAAATGGCTGTTTAATATAATTTGTTTTCATGCTTTCCTTCTACTGGTTTTGACTAAGATTGCAGCTGCGGGGACCACAGTGAGCTATCTGCCCGGTTTTGACGGTGAACTCCCTTTCAAGCTTCAAACTGGGTCGGCTTTCTTTCCTTTTAGAACTACTTATTTCAGTTTGCATTTTTTTCAATGGAACACCAAATGGAATACCAACTTAATTAGGATAATATAATTGATTGTTATATTTTGTTGAGAATTAATTACTGATGATACTAACAAGACTACTAGAGCATAGCCAGAACTAGTATTCATTAACTTTAAAACCTTAATTTTGAAGGGAAACGTAAGGGTTTCAAACCTCTATGTAATAGCTAAACATGCTAACTGATCATATGGCATTTGGGATTTTCATGTTTAGGTATATTGGAGTGGGAGAATGGAATGAGTCACAACTGTTTTACTATTTTGTGGAGTCTCAGAGGAACCCTGAAATGGACCCTCTTATGCTTTGGCTCGCAGGAGGTCCTGGCTGTTCCACTCTGTTTGCAATCCTTTATGAACAGGGTAAATTTTTTCTCATTCATTTGGAATAATAAATGTCTTCCATTTAATCTTTCAAACTTTTTATCTTATTTAAAAATAAGCCTTCATGAACTGTAGAATTCATCCAGGCTCTCCAACTTTTTGAATTGGTTACTCCCTTGAAAGTACCTCTATTAATGAAGCCTTGATATAACAAGTTAGAAGTCTTAAAACTTTCATATTTTAAGTTTTAAGAGGTTTCAAGTTCAAGTCCTGCCGCGTGTAGATTCAGTCCAATTTTGTATTGGTTTTGTTTAATTTCTAACCTCTCTTAGCTTGGCGATTGGTTTGTGTCATGAGTTTGTAATGGAGTGATTGATAGATATGTATTTAAATATGAAAAAATTTGTAAGTTATACACATAAAAAAAAGTTTGGAAAAGGGAAAAATATGTTTAGATGAAAATGCATTTTTGGTATCTTTTTGAACTGCAAACCTTAAACTTAAAGTTGACCAAAAAAGTGATGAATGTGAGCTGGATCAGCTTAGGTTAGGCTTTGATGAGTTTGATCCCTTCTCAAGAATTTGAAAAATAGTAGTTAGGTTGGCTTGGAGTCTTGGAGACTTTTTGTTAGAGCAAAGAAAGTCCAACTATATGTAGTCTCTTGGGCCCAAGTTTCAGTCCTTTTTTTGGAGGTAATCAAACATTAACCTTTTTCTCTAAGCAGATGAACATAAACTTCTGTAGTTCTGTTATCTGTAACATTGATAAGTTTGCTGATAAATATTCAATTTATAACATGGAGCCAATCGAACATTAATGGTCCAGTAGTAAAATGACCAACTGAATGAAATTCTGTGAGTTCTTGAGTCTGAGAGTTATGTCATTGTGTTTTTTGTCCCCCAGAGGAACTTTTAAGATAGAAATCATTTTGTTATATATTTGAATGTGTATTTTTGGAAGAAAATGAGGTAAAATAAAGTTTGCTATTGTTAGGTCCCTTAGTTTTTGATTATGCCAATTTCAATGGGAGCCTACCAATACTTCATCTCAACCCATATGCATGGACTCAGGTAAAAAAAATTCCATTGCTAAGACATGATTTGATTTTTTTAACTGTTAAGAATTTCTGTTTCTTCTCCCCAACTCATTCTACACACCAAGTTATTTGAAAAAAAAAAAAAAAACTTCTCCAGGCAAATGTAATATATTTGGATCAACCAGTTGGCACTGGATTCTCTTACTCTACAACACAAGAAAATTATCACGTTGATGACACTAAATCTGCAGCACAGACCTATGAGTTCCTAAGGAAGGTATATATATTAATCATGCTGAAATACCGTTAACCTTCTTTTGCCAGGAAGTAGAAATTTCATTAAAAATACTTAACTATTAGTGCTGTTTGGTACTTTGGTTGCCTTCCAAGTCTGGCAAAATTTGTTGGGGAAAAGATCTATCGGGCAGAAAGTTTTGCCAGAGTTGCCTGTGTTTGGTTTACGTTTAGTTAATGAAATTTCTGTTGAATATAACCCATTATTGTGTTAAAGTACTAGAAAATTGTTGCTTGTTTACTTAACACATGCTTTTACTTTGTAGTGGTTGCTTGAGCACCCTCAGTATTTAACAAATAAACTGTTCATTGGCGGAAATTCTTATGCTGGAATACCTCTCCCAATTGTAGTCCAACATATAGTCAATGGTATGTAATATTTGATTTTCATGATCATTATGATGAAGCATTTTTCCTTTTTTGGAGTGAGCCGTTAATCTCTGGTTGCTTGCAGGTAATGAAGCTGGACTAGAGCCACTGATGAATCTTAAAGTAACATCTTCTCCTGACATGTTCATTTTTAAGCTAAAAGCTACTTAAAAAAGTTAGGTTTCCTTGTATTAATTCTATGTTTTTGTTTTATGTTGGACTCTAACAGGGATACACTCTGGGTTCGCCATGCACTGATCACTTTATTGATTTCAATTCAAGACTTCCAGCAGCTTACCGACTGTCACTCATATCTGAGGAACTCTATGAGGTAATTCATTTCTCATATTATCAACTATTTATTGTTTTATGTGATAATCCAATCTCATATGGGAAAAAAATGTGATTTTGAATGGTATATAATAGTTGAGGATAGACCAAATGCTAGTAATAACTCCAAATTGCTCTTTCAAGGACCCTTGGATCTTTGGTGGAAGAGTTCTTTTTGCCTGGTTGTTAATTAATAACATTGGAGCTTCCAGGAGAGAGGATACTCCTAGAGAAACAAGGGACTCAACTCCCTTTCTAATAGTCTCAGGTCAACCTAATGAAGATTGAGGAGTTGGGATGTCCTAGACCTGGAACCTCAAGGATGTCCAACTATAAATGATGGAGTTAGTTGGGCATCCTGGTATAAAAACTGTATGTTAGTTCAAGACAGGTCAACTACTAATAATATAACTCAAACTTGATCTTTTCAAGGACCCTTAGATCTTATATGGAAGAGTTGTTATTTTTGCCTGGTTGTTAATTAATAACAGGAATGAACAGTAATTTCTTTATTCTGTTTCATTGCAGTATGCCAAACTACATTGTGGTGGAGATTATGTCAATGTTAATTCTAGCAACACAGAATGTGCATCTGCTATAAACGAATACAAGGAGGTCTGAGGGAGGATCATCTTAATTTACTCATCTAGTTCCTAATCTTGATCAACATTCACTTTAAGTCAATTCCACAATTTCATATTTCAGTTGGTTCTACAAATAGAAAAAGATAACATTCTGGACCCCATTTGCCAAACTGCCTCTCTGGGAACAAATGAAGCAAGAAGACAACTTGAGCACGAGCCTGAAGGGGCAAATAGTTGTAAGGTAATATTTCTTTCTCACTGTCCTCTAAATACCTATTTGTCCGTCTTCTTAATTGGGAAAATCCCATGTTGAAGAAATAACAAGTAACATGTGTGCTTAAATATAAGATGCTCCACCTGTTACCAATTTATTTTTTGTTGCATGCTTGTTTCATATTTGGGTCCACGTGAATTTTGCACATGTCTCTTGCAAGATTTAAACCTGAGATCTTTAGGATCCCCTATAACAAATAAGCTTTTAAAGTGTGATATGCTTCACTTCAGGAATATAACTATGTGCTATCGGAGGTATGGGCTAATGACAGACGTGTCCAAGAAGCACTTCATGTTCGAGAGGTATGAATACTTACTCTAGCATTTTGTTTAGAATGAAACTTATTGATTTAGTTTGTAATGAAGAGCAGAATACAAAAGGGGTTTGGGAAAGGTGCAATTCCAGCTTAGCCTACACAAAGACTGTCAGAAGCTCTGTTGAATTTCATCGTAATCTCAGCAAGAAAAGTCTTCAAGTTCTCATTTACAGGTCATACTCATATGCATTGCAACTTTATTTTTCTAAGTTAGGAATCAATTAGCAAAAAGTGGAAAGTAGAGGTGAGCAACACGTCCCAGGAGTTGGAACCAACCCTATAGGGTAGGACTTAGAAGCAGAACAGTGGGTAAAGGATTGGGCTCGGTTGTAAATTGAAAGAAGTGATATTTACAAAGTATGTTTCAGGTTCTTTCTTTACTTGAAACCGAAACCAAACCAAGGAACTGAACCATAGAACCGACCTTCAGACCTTGTGAGCCTACCATTATATTTTCATTTGGATTTCAGGGTCTACTGCAGTCTGCAGAATTGACCCTATCCTAGCCATGCTCACCCATAGCAAAGAGACTCAACTTATTTCAGACAAAATATCCAAACTAAACTGAGTTGAGATTTTCTCATATAACATTCATTCTACATCAACTTCTTTTTCAATTATTCACTAACTAAACAAATGTGTTCTTGTAGTGGTGATCACGAATTAATTTTCACGCATATTGGTACGCACAACTGGGTCCGTACACTCAATTTGACCAAAGATGAGAATTGGAGGGCATGGTTTGTAGATGGTCAAGTTGCAGGGTAAGGTTTAGTATTATGAATTTTAGTTCATTTTCTCTAATATTAAGGCCTAATCTTGTTCATTTCCCATCAGATTCACCGAGAAGTATATAAATGGTGACTACACTCTGATCTTCGCCACAGTTAAGGCAAGAGAAAAAGGAACCCTTTTATTCCATTTCCCAATTTACATTTGCACATTTGAGAATGATTTCTACAATGCATAATCATGAATGTGTTTTTGTTGGTTGAAGCAGGGTGCTGGTCACGTTCCTACAGAGTACAAACCAAATGAATGTCTTGCCCTGATGGACCGTTTCTTTGGTTATTATCCTCTCTAGAGATAATTGATGACACATTTCAGACTAGGCCGTGAGATAATCCTACCGTACCCTCTCACAAAGTTCTCCATACCCATCAATGTTACTATGACCTTGAAAGTAATACATTTAATTAATGCAATATTTGGGGTTTATTCCTAAAATAGTTTATCAAGCTCGACTGGAGCCCCACTTTTCTAAATTCAACAAAGCTTGAACTTGACTCAAACTTGTTATTATGGAAATCGAGCTCGAGCTTGAGCATTCTATTATGTAGCTCGACTTGGCTTGTTTACAGTTCTATTTAGAGGTTCATAACTCCGGACAAGAAAAATCATTCAAAATTTGAGGATTTTGTTTTTCCTTCGGCAATTGCCTCTTCCATAGCTAATGTCGTTAGTGGAAGGAAAGGTAGCAATGGCAATTCAAGTCTGGTCTACTTGCCAGGCAAATATATTGGGACTTGAATTTGTTGGCTATAAATAATCTTTCCACTCAGAAGGGAATAACACGTTAGACGTGACAACTTTACATTTTTCATATGAATGGTGAATGCAGCCAAAATGTCGCTTAAAAGAAACCATAGAGGCATCCTTTCAACCTACAACACAACATGTGCGTAAATAGGCTTTCAGCATCAGTCAATCAAGGTTGTGGTATACACCTTAGAAACGTCGCTGTATATGTACCATTGGGTAGTTAAGACTTCACACTGTTCCCTACTTCTATATACCAAAAAATAAGGATTATGGTTATGTTCACCATCATTTTTATTAGACTATTAAATTAGTTAAATTTTTATCTTAATTTGATTATTAAAAACAATTAATGATTGATAAAATAATTAATATTTATTATTTAATAAATTAAAATCAATTTATAATTAAATGTTTCCAAATATCATAATCAACTATTTAAGAAAAAAATTATAAATTGATAATATTACAAGAGAATGGTGCTTATCCGCCTTGCTTCTTAAATATTCTAAAACTACGTCATTTTAATAAACACCTATTGAAAAAGACTAAAATATCTTATCTTTAAAGCATGCATTATGGTATTTTTTGTCTTTTTTTCTTCTTAATTTTTTTTAGGCAAGGCAGATAAATACTAACTCCATATTACAAACAACAGTGGTGGCCTTATCAAATTTGTTGGTGGCCATAACCTCAGTTAAAAATAAATACTTTAGCTAATTCTCTTCTATTGAAAATAAAAAAAAGTCTTGGCTTCAATAGATGATATGCAGGTAAGCAGGGCAAAAAGGGTTAAGGGAAGGGAGGGTTGGACCAAAAAAAAAAAGACCTCTAGAGGAGCTTGCCTATTTGAATTAGATTGGTTGGTCCAAATTTCAAAATCATTTGCAAGAAAATATGTTGGGTGGGGCTGCAGGCCTTCAGTTCCCTCCCAGTACCTAACTTTCTAGTTTTTTTTATTTTCAGATTCGGATAAACATAACTAACTTTCTGGTGAAGTGGACTGACTAATTAGAAAGCCAAAGCCTGATATTCAGTGACTCTCCTTTTAAGCCTTTGGAAACTCCAAATACATTTTTAGAGATATCCTTGAACACTATATATTCACTGACTCTCCTTTTAAGCCTTCTTCTCTCCAACCACCAGTAACATCTTGGTGCAATTTGCTTTCTCCCCAGACAAAATGATGCTGGAATCAGTAGTTAAACATTGTCAAAACAAATTGTTTACCTTAGTTTGCTTCAATGTTCTTCTACTTCTGGCCTTAACCAATGTCGCCGCTGCCGGGGAAGCCGTGAAATATCTGCCTGGTTTTGATGGAGAACTACCTTTCAACCTTGAAACAGGGTCAGCCTCTTTTTTTTTTTTTTTTTTTCCTTTGTTTTTGCATGGTTGTAGAATTGAGGAGAAATGAAGATTAATCATGGGGTTTATTTTACTTTGCGTTGTGCAGGTATATTGGTGTAGGGGAATCGAATGCATCGCAGATGTTCTACCTTTTTGTGGAGTCACAGAGGAGTCCTTCGTTGGACCCCCTTATGCTCTGGCTCACGGGAGGCCCTGGTTGCTCTGTTCTCTCCGCATTCTTTTATGAGCACGGTAATTTTCTTTCTATCTAATTCTGTTTTCAACAAATATCTTTTACACTTTGTTTGGATTGAGGTAGTTAGAGGGAAAAGAGAGGAGAGTAAGGGAGAGAAAGAGCACCTTCTCTTATTTGGTTATGTCATTCTAATAGAGGAAGAGAGAGATGAAGATGGAGATGGAAGGAGATGAAACCTTATTTCTTTCTTTATTTTCAATCCTTCCAATTTAAAAGGATTAGAATTGATTACATTATTTAATTTATTTTTATTTTTAATTTTTTAAAATATGTATAAATATTTTATTTTAACTATTTATTTAATTAATAAATTTTAAAATTTTTATTTTTTATTAAATTATTTAATTAAATAAAAATGTTATCATTTCCTTTTCTTCAATTTTATCTATTCAAATAAAATTAATATCAACCTTTTCCTTCCCTCCACTTTTCCTCTCCTTTCTTCCCCTCCCCTCCCATTTCTTTCTTTTATTAATTTTTATCCTGGCCGAGGGTGAGTTTGGATTGAGGGTTTAGAGGAAGGAGGGAGATGTCTGTCATTCCTCTGGTTTGGATTTCTTTTAAAAAGTAGAAGTGAGATGGAGAGGTGGCAGCGCCCCCCTCTACTCTAATATTGCAAAGAGATAAACTGATAATTAGTGATACATGGAAAGAAACTTCGGAGAAATGATGTAATAAAAGTTGGCCATAGCACCTATTTGTCCTTTTTAGACATTTTTTCTTTTCATGATTAATGTTCTAAACTAATTTTTTTAATTAATATCCTTTATAATTTGAAATTCACAAAAAATTTTGAATTATCAATAAAATTAAGGTGTAAATAAAAGGTTTAACAATTAATCTTTATTGAAAATAAAGGATTTAACTATTAATTTTTGAGGTTTTTATAAATTTCAAATTATAAATAGTGTTGACAAAAAAGAATATTAATTTAAGATGTTGTCTGTGAAAAAAAAAAATATTTAAGGTGTAAATTGAGAGTTTGGTTCTATAAGTTATATTATGTTATTAAATAAATTAATATATAATATTATAGAGTTTAATAAAGTAAAAAAATTTAATATTAAATAATATAAAATTTACTTTTTTAACATTTTATATGTTAATTTTAAATTTTAGTCTAAAAATTTTGATCCGTTTATCATTATTTATAATTAATATGACTTATTTTTTAAAATATGTAAATATTTTATTTTAATTATTTATTTAAAGATTTGTCTAACTTGCATTTATTTATTGCATAATTTTGATATTAATTTTTAAAAAATAACATTAACTTTAATACACATACAATAGGAATATTTTTAATTAAATAAAAAAATAAACTTAATGTGAATTTTTATTTTTTAATGTATAATTTTATGAGTATGATAAATGCATGGGCACAAAATAAATTTTTTTATTTAATTAATAAAATTATGATAAATTTTATTTTATTCTTCTTTAAATTATTTAATTAAATAAAAAATATCTTTCTTTAGTATAACTCTTCACTTACCTTTCATGTATCCGAATGATAATAACACTAGCTTCAAGGCTCAAACAAGAAGACCAGAGCCAGCCGCATAGGTCTAACTTCCTCGCAGAGTTTTTTGCGTCTTTAACAGAATTCCTAGAAATAACGTTTCCCCGATATTTACACTTCCAGTTTCCTGGTCCATATCTCTTCGCAGCATTTGGCATACGAGACTCACCCCTTAGTCCTTGATGCTGTTGTAAAACATGTATTTGTGTAACACCCATTATGTTCAAATTTTCATGTCTGCGGAAATGGGTGTCTTGGATTTTTTCCCAGTGAAGTTTTTGAGTCGATTTTTGAGCCGGATTTGGTATGTAAAACGGCAATTTTCGTGTTTGGGCAAAACGTGGTTATACCGGCTTGGCTAGGAAGCTGTTTGATGAAATGCCTCAGAGAGGCACCCCATTAGATGGAAAATGAGTGACGGAATGCACCATGTCCCCAGTAAATGGTATGCACCATTGGAGAACCGAGTTGGGTTCGCGGATTGTCATTTCGCTCTATCCATGAGATTATGAAGTTGAGGCATTTATTTCACTATAAAAAGGCTATTTGGGGTGAAGGATTAAACATAATCCATGTTGTAAACAAAGGGATCTTGTTAGTTTCGTAAATGAATATAAGCATTATGCTGAACTTAGAAGATAGAAATGGTGGCATTAGTTGTTTACTACGTATTTCATTTAGATATTTCAAAAGAGGGAATTGGAACCTCCTTAATATATTTTCAAATTTACACTCTTTTCTTCTTAAAGAATTTCTTTTTGGAAAAGTTGGGCTAATATACTTTTACTGTCTGTAGGTCCTGTTGCTTTTGATTATGACAACTACAATGGCAGCTTGCCTTCTCTTCATCTGAATTCAATGGCATGGACACAGGTAAAACTATTTCTCTTAACAGTTGCCACGATATTATTTGATGTCTAGACTCTGAAGATTTTCTGAATTTGGTTCCCTTGTTACTCATTTTATACACCACTTTCTGTAGGGCCTAAACATAATATATTTGGACCAACCGGTTGGCACTGGATTCTCTTATTCATTAACAGATGAAAATTATTATGTTAATGACACTAAATCGGCAGCACAGACCTATGAGTTCCTAAGGAAGGTATGTTGGAATAATGCCAAAATATCTATTCTTTCTTAGGTTTTTCTAACCTTTGCCCGGGTTAAGGATGCATTTAATGTATCTTTTAGTCATTAAGTTACATAGAAAAAATAAAGTTTGACTTTAATATTAGCAACTAACCAATTAAATTAATACATGCAGCATTGATGTTAAACTTAATATTCACTTTTTTGGGACAATTTAATGACTAAAAGGTGTATTAATTACACCCTTAGGGCACAAATTAGAAAAACCCTTCTTTGTTAGCTAGTTAGCTCATTTGACCCAAGTGCTTAAGCTTTGATTGAAGTGTTGATCAGGTAGAGATTTTTCTTTAAGCATGCTTTCATATTCTGCCAGGATATTTGTTACTTGTTTAACACATTTTCTTAATTGCAGTGGTTGCTTGAGCACCCCCAATACTTAACAAATCAACTGTTCATCGGCGGTGATTCTTACTCTGGAATTCCACTTCCAATTGTAGTTAAAAATATATTTGATGGTATGCAGTATTGTTGTTTTATGGATTCATGTTTAAATTTGAATACAATGCATTACTTGTTAGCCTGAGCAATTTATCTCTGCCTTGCAGGTAATAAAGCTGGACTAGATCCATACATGAATATTAAAGTAAAGCTTCCTCCCTCGTCATATTTATTTATGAAAAGGAAGAAAATTAGAGCATACTTGCTTCTAATGAGGGTGACACTTTAAATATTATTTGCTTCTTTTTGCCTGACTTAAGTTGTCTATACAGGGATACGTCCTAGGGAACCCAAAGACTGATAATTATCTTGATGAGAATTCAAATCTCCCATTTGCTTATCGACTGACCCTTATATCAGAAGAACTCTATCGGGTAATTAATTAGGTGAGCTTATTTCCAAAGCAACCCTTTCTACTTCTACTTAAGAGGTGCTGTGGAAATAGCCTCGTCCTAATTCATTTCTCATCTCTAGTATCAAATTTCAACTCAATTGATGATATGTTGAATAAACTGTAAACTCCCTGTTACCTTTTTCTCCAGGAAGCCAAATTATATTGTGGAGGAGATTATGTCAATATTGATGCCAACAACACGGCATGTGTGACAGCTATAGATGAATATGAAGCGGTATGGAGGAGATAATTTCAATTACTCGTCTGGTTTCTAATCTTAATGTACACTCTTTTGAAAATGTGACCATTTGGTATCTCAGTTGGTTGAACAAATAAATCTCATGAACATTTTGGAACCCAATTGCCAAACTGCCACCCCTAAAACAAATGCAGCAAGGAGAGAACTTGAGGTGGACCCTGATGTTATCCGTTTGGCCAAACTTAATGGTGCATATTGGTGTCGGGTAATCCTTCTTCTGTGCTGTTCATTTCAATGTTCAAACTTTTCTTCTAAAATAAGTCATCTCTAAAGTTTGATGTGCTTCACTTCAGGAATACAACTATGTGCTGTCTGGTGTATGGGCCAATGATCCACGTGTCCGAGATGCTCTTCATGTTCGAGAGGTATGAATCCTTACTCTTCTAAGACTACTTTGGATGAACAAACTGTACAACTAATACCATCACAATGCAACTTGATTAGTTTTGTCTAGAACCAGATACCTAGGAGCCTAAGCCAAGAATAATACCTTCTGTCATTTTAAACCTTCACACAAAGCCCATTGTGCATAAAGTGTGGACAGAACACATGTCTGCCTGCAGACAACGAGACAAACCACTATGTTTAGACCACTAAGTGGTCCTAACCTAAGAGAAAGGTTTGGGATCAGTTACCGAAATTCATCTTCAAATGAATCAAGTAGAGTGTGCTGAAAGAGTTTAGAAACCAGACGCCAGATCAAAAGGGTCTAGTCTAGTTCCATGTTGAGGAACATTTAACCCAATAACTAAAATGACCTAATAAAAGTAAGATATTAATATTTAACAAATTTGATTTTTGATGTGTAACAGCACACAAAAGGAGTATGGAACAGGTGCAACTCTAGCATTGCCTACACAAAGACGGTCAATAGCTCTGTTCCATATCATCGATATCTCAGTGAGCAAAGTCTTCTTGCTATGGTCTACAGGTTATACTCATATGTCAAAACTTAATTTCTCCACAACCATCTCTTCATCAATTATATTCACAAAAAATAACATGATTTCTTGCAGCGGTGATCACGATTTCTCTGTAACACACATTGGAACACAAAACTGGATTGCTACACTCAATTTGACCACATATGTAGACTGGAGGGCATGGTTTGTTGATGGTCAAGTAGCAGGGTACGTTTTCAGTATTTCCACTTGCTCTTCTTCCATAACTCAATACCTATATTAAATCCTAATTCTTCTTCATATTCTTTATCAGATACACAGTGGAGTACATAAATGGTGACTACACTCTGATATACGCTACGGTGAAGGTAAGAAAAATGAATTTCTTTGTTTATTGATGTGCATATAACTTCCATAAGGTCCACAAATAAATTTGTGTTGCTTGACGCAGGGTGCTGGTCATGTTGCTCCAGAATACAAGCCCAAGGAATGCTATTCCATGATCGACCGGTTCTTCGCTCGTTACCCACTTTAGTGATGTAACGCAATTTGAGAATAAAAATTTGTTCTCCATTTTAGCTAGAGGGTGGAAGGGTTTTCGTAGGGTTTATCAGGAGTTGAAGAGTAGGAAACCAGTTTTTTGTTCCACTGTAAGGGCTGCTCTCTGCTTCACAAATAATTGAACGGAGAAAATTTATTATGTGTAATTCGCAAACTATTAGCTTTTATGGTGACCAATGGTGATACTGTGATACAGAAATATTATTTCTTTTATCAGTACCGATTGCCAAAAAAAAAAAAAAAAGAAGGTAATTTAAGTATTTGAATTATTAAAATATCTCAATAGAACTCTTTTTGATATTTATTCATTGATAGTGTTTTGATAATTTCAATATCTGAATTACACTTTTTTTTTTGCAATCCAAACTAAAAACACCAAACTCTGTTGTGAGAATAAATTTTGGAGTTTGTCTAACTTATATTTTTAAGGTGTATACTTTTCTTATTAATTTGTATAGAAAAACAGAAGTTAGTTCCATTTTTAATACTAATAATACAGGGACAGTTTTAATTAAGTGATTGATAAAATAAAATTAATGTTTATTTATTTCATTAAAATTAGGTTAAACCTCTTTTTTGGTCCCTCAACTATTAATGGACTTTGATTGAGTCTCTCAACTCAAAAAATCCCTAATTTGGTTCCTATTGTTTACCATTTTAACCCCGACTTAACCCCTCTGTTAAAAATTGCATGATATGTACTGTTAACTAATGGAAGTATAATGATCTATCAAAATACTAAACCCATGTGGAAAGACAGCATTGCAAAAAAAAAATAATGATTTGGCAATAAAAATTTAAAAATTTCTCTTCTTCCCTCTTCTTTTCCTTTCTCCTTCCTCTTCCTTTCCTTGGCTTTTTCATCGATCAATTCTTCATTATCATCAAACAACAAAAACCACAAAAAATAAAAAAAAATCTTTTACTTTTCATTAAAATTAGGTTAAACCTCTTTTTTGGTCCCTCAACTATTAATGGACTTTGATTGAGTCTCTCAACTCAAAAAATCCTTAATTTGGTTTTTATTGTTTACCATTTTAACCCCGACTTGACCCCTCTGTTAAAAATTGCATGATGTGTACTGTTAACTAATGGAAGTATAATGATCTATCAAAATACTAAACCCACGTGGAAAGACAGCATTGCAAAAAAAGAAGGTAATTTAAGTATTTGAATTATTAAAATATCTCAATAGAACTCTTTTTGATATTTATTCATTCATAGTGTTTTGATAATTTCAATATCTGAATTACACTTTTTTTTTTGCAATCCAAACTAAAAACACCAAACTCTGTTGTGAGAATAAATTTTGGAGTTTGTCTAACTTATATTTTTAAGGTGTATACTTTTCTTATTAATTTGTATAGAAAAACAGAAGTTAGTTCCATTTTTAATACTAATAATACAGGGACAGTTTTAATTAAGTGATTGATAAAATAAAATTAATGTTTATTTATTTCATTAAAATTAGGTTAAACCTCTTTTTTGGTCCCTCAACTATTAATGGACTTTGATTGAGTCTCTCAACTCAAAAAATCC